ACTCGTCTTGAATATATATATATATATATAACATGGAACTATAAATAAACGGCGTCAGACTCATGTGTACCTTACACTTCTGCATCTTGTGAATGTGCCAGTTGTAAACTTTGGACATTTATGCATAATTGCCCACTCCTGCAACCAAAGAATTGTTTCAGAAACAGCGCGTCTGCATTCAACGTACCCGCAGAGAAGCCGACGGCGTCAAATCCCCAACGCCGCGTGAAATTGCGCTGCCAGCTACCCCAGTCAATACGCAATTCAGACCGGTAAACCAGAAGCTGTTAGAATATTTAATTTCTTCCAAATAAAAAAATTTCCATGAATATTCTCCTCAATAAATAATTAAATAAAAAAAAAACTCCTTACAATACTCTTCTATTGGTATGAAAATGCGATTTTGTCCAACAATAATGAGATCTATACACTGAATCAAATCTTATTTGCAAGAATATAAATTAATACAACAATCACTATATATCATCATGACAAAATCCAGCATGTATGCACTGGCTGCCTCAGTAGTGTGATGCCCATTTAGAATTTTCATTTCAGTCAGTTGGGTCTCAACAGTTATTGTAGACTGAACTTTTGATTCTTAAAGGGAAGGAATTCCTGAGGATTAGAGTAGAAGTAGTCTTCTTCCTTTGGTCGGTCCATGATGACTCTTCTCCTAGCAGGCTTCCCCATGCGGTTCTCATGAGCAGCCCTTACAGAAGTAGAGAACTCATCCCAATCAATATAGCCATGGTTGAACTGATCTATCAGCTCCACGAGCAGCTTCCGGTCAGGGACGATGGTCTTCCTGAAACCCAAGTATCTGGGAAGCGGTTCACACAGTCAAATAAGGTAATAACTTATCAGAGACCGAGAAAGGTGTTAAAATGGTCCTCAAACTCTTTATAGGAGTTTGTTTTAGTGTCATAGTTTATAAAAGTATTAATTTAAAATTTTTATAAAATCTAAGTCCAAGGCTCCATTTGGGGGAGCTTATTCGCTGCGGCAACATTTTCAAAATGCTGTCTCACCATTTAGAAACTACGTTTGAGCAACTTATCTGAAAATGCAGTTAGTTTTTTACACTAAACACGGAACGGGAGTCGAACCCCACGGTCCACGTTTCTAGGTAAACACAAGCTGCCCCAAACGGAACCAAAAATGACCATATAAATAATCGGGGAGTATGTTGACATTTTATTCATTAGATATAAATGAATGAGTAAAGAAGGATGTGGGGAGTACCTCCTATGACCTTCAACAACCTTGGCCATGTTGCCATCATAAGTAGGAATGAATATATCACTCTCCAATGAGACTAGATAATCCAATGCTGCCATTTGTGAAGAGTGGTTCTGAAAATATCTGAGATCTGAAGGCTCCAACAGCGTCTCTTTCCTCACCTGCAAAACAGGGAAAATAAGGAAGATAGCTCGAGAAGAAGCCAAAAGAAGCAAAATTTTGGGGTTTACTGACCACATTTGGATAAGCTGCAGTTAAGGCAGCCATTCTCCGAGCTCCACCGTATATTTCCCCAGCAGCAATGTATATGGTGGTGCCGGTATCAATGTCTAATGCTTGGAGTATAAGAGCAGTTTCCTCAGGCGTCAAAGGGCAGGACCCGTCTTTTCTTTTTGAGTCAGCATCTATAACTTTTTCTTTCCACCAAGGGTATGCATATCTGTAAATGGCCAGCTTTTAAGTTGTTATCAAACTTATATAAATTCGGAAGATTTACATATATAGCGCTCAATTAAAATGTATTTGCACATCTAACAACTAAGCTTCAAGTTTTAGCACCCTACCTATGCCTGAAAAGGTAGTGCATTTCACTTTTAAAAGTTAAAATTGTGTTATTTAAAATGTGAAATGAAAATGTAATATACAGGAATTGGGAGGCATGGATGTGACAACTAATCTGAAGGCATACACTGTATACCTCATTCGGGTCAACTCCTCAGCTTCCTCCACGGAGCAGCCATGAGTGCAGCCTGAGAAAGCCAACATGTCCATTTCATAGCGAAGATGAAGGACGAGAAAAGGACCATTTCGACGAAGAATGTTGATCACTCTACGTCCTAATTCTTCGATTTGTGGAGTGAATCTAAGAGCAGCATAATTTGTTCTGCAACGTAACTTCTGAATCTCCATTGGCAGGCCATTGTTAGCAAGCCTGGAATCGGTTTTATTCAAATGAACAATCTTGTGTTTGAGGAACAATGGTAGAATCTGCTTGTGTGCATGGAAAGTTCAGCCATCATTAGACCATGTATATACCAACCTTAAAAGGATTTTAAAGGAAATTTACATAAATACCACACATTTTTTATGTATTTACATATCTAGCACCCAAAGTTCGATTTTTACACTTATTGTACACCTTGGTGTCATAAACATATGCCCTGAAAAGGCACTTTTTACTTAGAAAAAAATAATGATGGTGATATTTTTTATGTGATGTTAAAGATATGTAAATACATAAGAATTGTGGAATTTATGTAAATGATCCAATAAGTAAATAAAGAACAAAGCAAAACCTGATTTTTGTAGTAAGAAATGTCCGACCAACTAACAGGAGGCATGGAATAGAACATTCCAAGCGCAACTCTATGCTTTAACCTTGGAGGAAGCTCTTTTAATATCCTGACTTCATCCCTCAGTGCAGAAATGAAATGGTCCACATCAAATATGTCTTGAAACTCACTGTAAAGTGAAAAGTTTTGTATGAATTACTAATGTTCAAGATAAAATATAGAGACATTTACATACATAGCACACAATTCTATTGTATTTACATATCTCACACCTCAACTTTCACATTTACATACATATCACTCCAAATTTTAATCTTACATAAAAAATAGCACTATTATCAATTTTTAAAAATAAAATCTCCGTCTCATACATAGTTTTAAAGCACCAAAGTGTGTAAAAATGAAATTTTTGGTGTGAGATATAAAAATGCACAAGAATTGTGAGCTACATATACAAACTTCCCTAAAATATATGGATAAATGAACAACATTCTATGGCCTCCAAAATACCTAGGATCACTCCAGAATGATGTTTTATCCAATTCCGGTATAATCAGCGTCACATTTAAATATCTTGCAATAGCAACCATATCGCATATCTTCAATGATGGATTTTGATGTTAAAAGCTATTTACAAACTCAAAACCATAGATTAAGAATGCCACAAAATAGAATGATAAATTCAAACATATTAATCTTCATCACTTCAATACTTACAGCAGCACGCATTTGATTTAGGCCTCCATTGCAGGAAACCACCAAGTAACCATTATTTTTATAAATCCCTGAAAAACAAAACACAGCCAAATGTCACATGGAACAGCGTGGATACCACCACTAATTAGAAGCAGTTAATGTGGTCGCATTGACTGCTAATACAGGAGTCTATTTGAAGTAACAGCTGAAAGAATAGCTTAAAAAGAGAACCAGTGATAAGATAACAATTAAACATAGCAAATTGTAAACTTTCACTGAAATACAGGAAAATTTTCCTTTCTTGGAACAAGCAAAGTAAGAAGTCAAGAGCATCATAACGCAAATTACTTAAAAGATCATCTTTATGCAAGTTTTTAGCAATCAACCCGGGGTATGAAGACTATACATAAACGGCAGCATCATAAAAACTTACTTTTGTTTTTCTCTTCAAATTTTTTGTTCAAGAAGAAAATAACAATCTGGCATTTAGTCCCGAAACAAACATAGAAAATTGGACGCTCGATTATTGGAATAAAAACAGTAACTATGTTAATGAGCCTTATAGCAATTATAGAGTACCTAATTCTTAAGAAAATAAAATAGCCGTCGGATGCAAGGAAAATGCTTGTCATTTTCTATTCCTAGTGAGCCAATCATCTCCTTCACAGGGCAATGCACACCCAATCAAATCTACGGAAGAGAAAACAATAAAAGAATAAGTACAGTAAAACTCACTCTTTGGTGGAAGAAGAATCTTATGAGCAGCAACTGGTGGATGATTCAGTGTCGGCGACTGTTGTGAATCCAACAGAGTGAAGCAGGCGGGCCAGCCCTTGAGAACCCTCGGCCCCCATAACTCTCCAAGTGCACTAAGCTGAACTAGACAAGTCCACAGCAAGACAGTGGTCGTCGCACGGATCATCCAAAGCTTCATCCTCGACCTCGACGTCATCGCCCCCTTAAACTTCTGCGCCGCTACTGCTGTCTTCCCCTCGCGGCATGACTTCAAACACGTCTGCTTCTCGTCGTACTCAGATCCCGTCTGCGATCTCTCCAGCTTGCACATCCCCGGAACCCAAAGGGCCCCGCTACCATACATTAGCAACCCTAGAGCTTCCAAGATAAATAACCCTAGAAAAATAAGTTCCCCTCTCCCCCTCCTTTAAATTTACAGAACACCTAAAAAACGCCCAAAAAACTTCAAAAACAATAGCCACACCTGCGTCACCTCCTCCCGTTCAAATTCAGAAATCAGTATACAATAAAAGAAAAGCAATGTAGCATCCTTGACTCCAATCAATGCAGCCTCGTACGGTGAAAAGAAACCCTTCTCCAATCCAGCACAAATCGAACAGAAAAAATACTAAAAAAAGGAACGAATTCAACAAAATAACAAAACGCCTGTTACCACACCGGTAAGAACCCCAAATCCAAAACCAAAAACAACCCTCCTCCTACCCAACTCCAGGAACCCGCTCACCACACCCACTTCAACCGGAAACTAGTGCAAAAAAATTTCAACAAATCAGGAGGAAAGTCCCTAAAATTGCTTCTTCAGGTAAATAGATTGACATATACGGCTCTTTCAGGCGAGAGGGCGGCGGATCTCGCCGGAGACCGGCAGCGAGGCTGGTTCTCAGATGACCGGAATGCGAAGCAAAGGCTCTCTATCCTTACAACTTATCATCCTCATCATGGGAAAGGAAGAGAGCACCTCCTTCGCCTTATGTATTACAAGCCGACTATGCGACCCCATCATAGTTTGTATGAGACCACATCATAATTTCAAATCCTGGCCGTCCGTTTCAATCATTCGCGATGAGTCCTCATGGACAAGTGTGGACCCGACCACACAAACTGGACTCGTTGTGTCGCGACACTCGTCTTGATCTCGATCGCCGACAGGATCCAAGGAGGCTAATGAGATGAACGGCCATGATCTTGAGGTGCGGCATTAAATACTACTTAATTTTAAACAGCACTGCTTCACCGGATCTCGTGACGACCGCCGTCAATCTTTTCGTCTCTTATTTTCTTCTGATGTCGATTGCACCGTCACTTCACGGCTAACCGTTATATTTAGCAACGCGAAAATGACTATACAGAGAGACAATTTTATTAATTTACATCTCTAATATTTAAAATTATTTATAAATATATATATAATAAAACTATAATACCTATTGACACGACATCAGTAAATTCATCTAATTAAATTTTCATTTGAAACCTTTAAGAACTAAATGTATGATTGACCTCTGATTTAGTAAATATACAAACAGACTAAAAGTTCTAATAAGATAAATCCAAACATAAGATGTCTCGATTCATGTCTTATTCAGAGGGGATTTCACTCACTACCCTATAAATAAAGTTTTATTCCAAAGAAGGAAGAGCCAGACTTAGGGTACGTTTGGGGCGGCAGTTTACCTGCAGCGCGGCACCGTGTTCAGCCGCGACGTCCCGCAGTTTGGTGTAAACGCGGAAAGCTCCTCCTGACCTGCGGCCCAGCTTCGTCGATCGGATTTTTACCGCCGTGCCCCCTTTTTACCAGTCCTAACCGCCGACAGTAGATACCGTGAAAGAAGAGCAAGCCGCGATGGTCCTTTTTCCCTGTTTCGAGTGCTACTGTAAAGCTTTCATGTTCAAACTAGCCAGCAAATATATTTTTTGAAAAGATTATTGTCAAATGGTGGGTCCTTCTGATTTCACATTGAACAAAGGTGAATTTGATTCAGTGTGACCTGTCCGTCAACAAATTTATACAATGTTCTGATTGTGAAATTTGTTGAAAATTTAAAAGATAGTTGGAAGTGGGTGCTAGTCTTTATGTTTGCAATGTTTCAAGCATTATGTATGCAGTTATTCCTACTTTATGCTGATGTGGTAAGATGGAGCTGTGAACTTCAATGCCATGTAAATAGAGCAATAAACCCATTCATCCTAAACCTTGATATCTCTAGAGGATTGAGATGACGCTAGACTTTGAAGAAGAGTATTTGGGAAGTTTTTCTTTGTTGGTATTATGTAACAATTTGAATTATCATCCATCGATTTATTGTTTGCTTTCATTTACTCCTGAATTTATTTATATCAAAATAATCAGCTTTAAAGTGTTTCAAATACTTAGCATTATAGCTATGAAATCACATTATAGGGGATGTTTGGTACCTGCATTTGAGCAAGAATTATCAAGCTTCTACTTTCAATAGAATCACATGCATTTATGACTATCACAGTTCTGTTAAGCACAAAATTACAAAACAGTGGCAGAATGATCATTTCTGCAGAAACTCACGTTGTTTTCTCCACGGCTTCCCCTAACAGTCAGCCAGCTTCCCCGCAGCAGTTTCCTGGGGCAGCGCAGCTGCAGCTGAAAAGCTGAGAAGCTACAGCTGCGCCAAACAGAGCCTTAGAGCTGGATCATAGGAGAAGGAGCCAATTTTCAAAGATGTTCTGAATTGAAGACCTTGTTATCACTTCTGTAGTTGCTGACCATCGTCGACCACCTCTCACTAGTCGCTTGCTACTCATCGTCGTTGGGGGAACTTGCAGAGAGATGACGCACGTCGCGGAGTAGTGAAGTACTGTGTGGATTAAGGAGGTACATTGCAGAATAATTAAGCACCTTACGGAGTAGTAGGTTGTCTTAAATATTGTGCAATGACATACTCTAAAGATGGTGTACCGAAGTTTCGTTCATAACTCCCAGTAGCAACCACTCCCGACCATTGTACAATGAACCCTTCTGCGTACGAACAATATACTTGGAGATACTTTGTAATCCTTTCTCGTTTGTGGGACAAGCTTATAGCTGATCATTCTGACTGGGTCAGGCCCTTGATTTTTCCCATTTAGGGTTTTCCGCTTAAAAATTTATATCGTCTCTACTTGTTATCATTAATGTGTATAATGGATTTTGGTACAACGTTAAAATACTAAATAATTATTCTACTGCCGCTAATCTTCCAGCACACAACGATCATATTATCCAGGTTGACTAGAATGCAACATTTATGTGCCCATCTTTTGCACCAATATTGAACATATTTCCTTAATCTTTATAGATTTTTTCAAAAGGTTAACTTATTATCCTTTGTTTGAAAAAATACATCTAATTTCTTTCTTCTGTCTCACCATGCGAGAATATATTCTTACATCAAGCTGTTGTAATTTTTCTTCAAAGAAAGCCACTAAATTCATCAATATCTCTATTAGTATATCACCTTGAGTGTTTTTCAATTTGAAAATTCACTTGCATGTAACAACCTTCTATATTTTTAATTATTTATATGATTTTATATGTTTTTTTCTTAAGAGACAATTGTATTCCTCTTGTTTTTTCTTTAATCCATTACTTTAAATCCTTAACAAAGATGACTTATTTATATCTTAAAGATTCAAAATTTTCATATTCAAGGGCTAACATAATTACATATTCAATCAATTTCTTATATCCATAATTTATTGGCAGCTAATACTCCTTCCATGATCTAATGTAACTTAATGGTTGCTGGCCTCTTTAAATGTTGCTTTAATTACATATTATTATGCAATAAATTTATGTAGCTCTTGATAATTTAGTTAGAGTTGACAAGAGGCTCTAACGTAAATTATTAAAAATTTTTATCATACAAAATTATATTCTTTTAGTGTTTAATAAAACTATCACTTTTACATGCATTATTAATATAAAAAAACATAACAAATATTTGTATTGATAATTGATAAGCCATCGACAAAACTTTAACATTCAACATGAATCTCGAAATAGACATGGATCTCAAGACAATTTTTTCAGCAAGAAGTGTTCAAACTCCGACTAAGAGTCATCCAGAGCTATGATATCAATAAACTTAAAGTCAAAAAATGTCTGACTGGACGAGAACCCAATAATATCAAAATTAGTCCAATTGGAACCAAATCAAGCTCTAATTAAGCTATTAAATCACTTTTTGAAGCTTTATGGACATACTTGAAATGTCAGACAAACACCGAATCTGGCGAGCTGATAGTTGAGTTGAGCATCTCAACAAGACGAATCCAAGGAGACCAAGATCACTCAATTCTGACATCAATAAGACACTCAAACATTCATCAAATGTTGTCTAATCCAATGAAGCTCTTGTTACTGTCTGATCAAAGTGGTTCATATTCATGCATTAATTGCACCCAAAACTCTATAAATAGAACCCTATTTCTCTCTTGAAAAGAAGAGCGAGAGCTTGAGATCTGAAGAAGAGCGTGAAACTTGACAAAGGAGCTGAAGTCCAATATCACTCCCGCCACCGTCGACTAACGTAAACCACTAAAAGACATAACAAATATTTGTATTGATAATTGATAAGCCATCGACAAAACTTTAACATTCAACATGAATCTCGAAATAGACATGGATCTCAAGACAATTTTTTCAGCAAGAAGTGTTCAAACTCCATCTAAGAGTCATCCAGAGCTATGATATCAATAAACTTAAAGTCAAAAATGTCCAACTCGACGAGAAGAACCCAATGATTCCAAAACTAGTCCAATTGGAACCAAATCAAGCTCTAATTAAGTTATTAAATCACTTTTGAAACTTTCTGGACATACTTGAAATGTCAAACAGACACCGAATCTGGTGAGCTGATAGTTGAGTTGAGCGTCTCAACAAGATGAATTCAAGGAGACAAAGATCACTCAATTCTGACATCAATAAGACATTCATCAAATGTTGTCTAATCCAATGAAGCTCTCGTTACTGTCTGATCAAAGTGGTTCATATTCATGCATTAATTGCACCCAGAACTCTATAAATAGAGCTCTATCCCTCTTTTGAAAAGAAGAGCGAGAGCTTGAGATCTGAAGAAGAGCGTGAAACTTGACGAAGGAGCCGAAGTCCAACATCACTCCCACCACCGTCGACTATCGTAGACCACCACTTATTAGCCTCCTGATCGCCGCCCATTTCTTGTGACAAGTTCTTCTACACATCTACATCGTTACTCTAAAGACTTTGTAACCATTTTCTCGTCTGTGGGACAAGGGGTTGTACTTGTAATCTTCGGTTTATAATGAATCACTTCAACTGCTTCAAATCTCATGGTCTTTTCCTTTTACGATTTTTCCACATAAAAATATCTTGTATCACTACTAGTTATTTTTTTTCTTCTGAGTCTGTATTAGATTCTCGTGCAACATTAAGAGGATAATTTATTACTCTACCGGTGTGAATCATCTAGCACTTATTAATAATTATTTGAATACTATGAGAAATTAACCCCTTAATTCATTTGGGATAATCTAGTAATATATATTTTGTATTTAAGTTTTTTTTTTTAATTTTTGTGGGCATATGTTATAAACCTAAAAACTCTCAGGTACGATGGCAGTAGGTGGTGATTTATTTGCTGAATAATATGTAATGAAAAATGCTCTAGCCTAAAAAAATTTAAAAAGTGGAGCTATAAAGCAAGCATCCATGTAACCTTTTCATGAAGTCATGTATTGACTCTTTTTGCAGGATCACTTTTCTCTAATGTATTTTTAGTAGTTTTCTGTGTAGCAATACTAGAATGTGAGTAAAACTAATTAAAGTTCTTACCATATAATTCTAATCTATTATAAGTTCTTAAGCATTGATAGCATTGCTCTTTTAATTTTTCCTAGGGATTTTATTGTAAAAAATTTGAAAATATTTCATCTTTGGATTTAATTTAAATTATCCAAAAT